TACAAACTACAACACACTCTAATATTTAACACTAGTAAATATTGTTGGATTCTAATTATAAAAAATTAATAACAACTTTAAGTGGTACTAACATATTATTTTGTTATTAGTGTTCGTATTTTTTAAAAAATTTCAATAATAAAAATATGTAGACTTAGAGCAAAATGGTTAAATATACATCAGTACAGTGGCATATTTACAGGAGGGGGGTCCTTGGGGTCAATCACACCTTGGTTTTACTGTTATGAAAATTAACTAAATGATAGCCTAAGATAATAAGTAATAACAATGACGGACAGTTTCTCTTATTAATTTATAATGTCTATTCATCGGAATATATCCATCAATGTGGTTACAGTGAATAGTGAACTAGTGAACAGCTTATATAATTTGTTAATTAAGTATGGTTATTATTATTATTATTATTACAAAGTTGATGATATAAATAATAATAATAATAATAATATATTTATTTATATATATTTATATATTATATTATATGAAAAAATTAAAAAATTAAAAACTCAAAAATGTTAAAATGTCTTATAAATAAATATGGTATAGATACTGAATAATGAATACAAAGAAATTGTGAGAGAGGTGATTTATCTGATTTTTCTAGACCCTCCCCATGATAAATTCCTAAATACGCCACTGCATAAGTAGCATAATATTTGACTCAGTTGTATGGGGGTGACACTAAAATTATTTAACACAAGCTTAAATTTTACCATTAAGTATAGTATAGATACTAGATAGTATACTATCTAAACTCAATGATTCTACCCTATTTATTTTATAATGAACTGTTTTTATTTTTGTGTCAACTAGTAAAAAGTCAATATGATCTTTATTTATATACTGTGCTGTTATGGGAATCATTCAAATCAAATGAAGGTTCCAAAAAAGGAAATAAATCAATAGTAATATCTTATTTTAATTTAATTTAATAATGCATAGAAGATGTCCTTATAATAATGAAATGTATCCAGACTGACTACTGAGTACTTTTAAATTAAAATAGATTAACTGAAATCATTGTTATTAGTTCATTAAAATATAAACTTTAAACGTCTAATAAATTTTGTATTTATTAATCAGTGTTAAAAATTGATTTTAAAAAAATTGTAAGTAGAGCTTTTAAATACTTTTTTAATAGTTCGAATGAAAAAAAAAAAATTCAGAGACAAATAAACTGTAAATTATTTAGTTTAAAATGTCATAATATTATGTCAAACCAATAAAGAGACAAATTAATATTTAAAAAAATGATATCAAGTTTCTTCTTCTTCTTTCGTGTCGTTCAGATCTCGGTCATCCAAAAAGCCGCGACTGCTGCCGCTTTGTCATTTGCCAGGTATAGGTCATTTTCATCACAAGTRGTTCCTATTAGAGGGCATTGTAGTAGGTGGCCCATTGTCTGTATTTCACCACATTTGCAGTTGGTTGTGTCGTCTTCTCCTAATATTTTCCATTTCTTGAGTGTAGTTTTGCATCGTCCAACTCCTGTTCTTAAACGATTTAATGCTTTCCATTTKTCCCATTTCCAGTTTCTTCCTTTAGGTAGCTCTTCTTTTAATTCCCTCGTAGTGTTTTGTTCTCTCTCCTTCCATCTGTTGATTCTTTCTTTTTCTGGTGGGTTCTTTATTGGTTGGATCGTAGTAAGGAAACTTTTCCTGGATTTAAGTCGTGGTTGCGGCGGGCTCTTTCCATGTAGGGGGTGCCGGGGATCGTTTTGTTGTTTGTGTCGTTCTATCTCTGATGCAATCTCTCTCCTAATATCTGGTGGTGCTATTCCTGATAGTACTTGTATTTCCTCGACCGGTGTTGGTTTGAGGCATCCTGAGATTATTCTGCATGTCTCGTTTAAAGCATTGTCAACTTTTTTCGCATGACATGATCTGGCCCATACGGGGGCAGCATATTCGGCTGTTGAGTAGCATAGTGCTAGTGCTGATGTTCTTACAGTATTTGGGTCTGCTCCCCATGATGTTCCTGTGAGCTTTCTAATCAGGTTGTTTCTCGCGTGGGTTTTTTGTTTTACGTTTYCGCAATGAWGTTTGARWGATAAGGTTCGGTCTAGTGTGACACCAAGGTATTTTGGGTATTCGGTATTTTCAATCTCAACATCTTCCCATATTATTCTTAATTTTCGTTTTGCTTCTTTGTTTCTTAGACGAAAAGTGCATACTTGGGTTTTGTTGGGGTTTGGTTTTAACCAATTTTTTTTGTAATAAGTTGACATTTTCTCTAGTGCGTTGTTAAGAGGTTAAGAGTGCTTTCTATATTTCCAAACGAGCGATTCTGAGCAGTGAGCGCTAGATCATCAGCGTATATGAAACGCTGGGTTCCTGTCCATTTCTCTACTTCTTCTCCATCTTCGTTTGTTTCGTTATAGCCCCATGCGCTGTTGTGACTGTTGAAATCGCCAATTACAATTTTTGTTCTTTGGTTTTCGAAATTTGTTGGCTTTGTAAATTTAAATGGCATATTAGGCGGTTTGTATACTGATGTGACAGTGCAGTTTGTAAGTTCTACTGTGAGGATTTCTATGTCGTTTGTTTCTGTATGACTTGTTGAGAGGATCTTTAGATTATCTCTTACAAATATCGTACTGCCKTATTTCTTATGTGGTCTCTCTATTGCCAACTTYATTCCCTTTATCTTCGGACGGATGTTGTCCTTGTCTCGGTGTGTTTCTTGGACGCATATAACGTCGCATGTATTTTTTTGGCAAAGTTCTTGTAGGATGTCGCTTTTATTATTTGAGAATCCTTCGATATTTATTGAAGTCGTTATGAGTGCTGGTCCTGAAAAGGACCGTTTTGGCGTTTTGGTTGACATTTGAGATCCGTCCGGAGTTGGTAAGATTGGTTAGCGATAAATTCTGGTTTAGAAATATCGCTATGCAGGGGGCGCCGCGTGCAGGCTCTTACCATGCCCCCCCATATCAAGTTTAAAGATCACTAATTAGCAAATAACATTTAATTTTAAGTCTATTCAGTTATTTTCTTTTGAATGGTTAGACCCAAAATCATAGTGTATTATGTATTTAGTTATGAAAAATATTAATTGATATAAATGTGTATGCTATATATATTATTATTTATTTACCTACCTGTTTCATAAAATGTAAGACTTCTTTTTACTGGTGTCAGGAAGTCTGTAGTTTGTCTTTGAGACACTTTTGATGTAACTTCATTGTCTAAATAGTAAATATATTATTTTAAATTATAAATTATAAAAAACTTTGTATAATATATTTGACTAAACACAATTGTAATTGAGTTTTAATACTTACTACCCGCATTAAACTTTTTAGGAATGGCTCCAGACATAAGCCTGTTATGATCTGGTCTGGTGAAATCATGTGCATTAAAATGATCTTCACACAGATACCTATTTTTAATTTTTTTCGGTGACAATTCATCTAATGCCATGTTTCCTATWAAAATAATATCTTATTTACTCTGCATTAATCTTAGTCATTTCAATTAAAATGTATTTAACTTACCTGAATTAAGAATCCATTTTCTACATGTTTCTGTATCTGTAGGAAATCTGTACATTTTTTTTTTACAATTAGATCTATTATTCTTACAGTTAGAATAATTACAGCTTCCGCCAGGCATATTTAGAATTTGTAATTACAAAAAACCAACAATTTAAAAATTTCACAATTACAGCACAAATTAAAAAATTAAAACTAATAACTAATAACTAAAAAGGTAGTAAAGTTCGTTAAATTATTTTTTAAATACCTACATAGATAGGTAGGTATTTAACTCGTCTTTTCTTGTAACATATAATATCCGTGTTCTTTTCAAATAACATTTTTGCGCTCTATGTAAAATTTATTTTATGGTATTTTAAATATATACAATAAATATGTATCATTAATATGGTCATACTCTGCATTTGCTATCCGCGACAAATTAAGGAATGCGACATCTATCGGCTGCTATCCCTTTGCGCGTATCACATATTTCAGCTATAGATGGTTTCTCTATACTATCTATACTCAATGGTAATAATAAACATGAGCTTTAAATTATAACATTTTTTTATGGTTATACAATATAAAATAACAATGTTAAGTATAATGATTAAAATAATACTTGTATGTTGTATCGGCCATAGAACCTTACAATTAACCGATAGAGTATAATTTTTTATAATAAATATTAAAATTTTACATGKAAAATTATTATTATTACCTAGAAGGGAAATATCAAAGTACCTAGCCACCTAGACATGCTTTTCTAATTTTCATTTGAAAAAATTGATGTTGCTGTTTTGTGAGTCAATTTTAGAAACATCTTCTACATAAAAATGTATGAACGATAGGAACTCATGTGTTCATTGAATTCATCTATTGAGGGATCCGAGTTAAGTTTTGACTTTTTTAAAAGATGAAAAAAATCATTCGATGTATGTAGTAACCTGACCAAACTGACTGGAAGAGTGCCAATAATTGAAATTATCTTCAGTATTTCTGAAAATACTTCTGGAGGTTTATTTGAGCAAATCAATAATTATAATTAAAATGCAGTTTAATATTATTATTATTATGATTATAAGTAATAATTTAGCAGAAACAAATTAAGATGTAACTTTTAACTCATTTTTTTTTTAAATATTGTAGTAATTTACCAATAGACACTTATAGACATTTAGAATTAACATTATTGTTAAATATCTGAAATTTTTAAAACATAATATTATTATCTTGATTTTTTTAAAGAAAAACGCATATTATCCAAATAATTTAAAAGTTAAAAATTTAGGTACCTATATAAAATACATGATAAGGTCCCATAAAAAGGGAGTAAAAAATAATTGGTAAGGGTACTTTATTATTCACATCATATCATATTAGACAAGTATCACAACATGTACAGCTCAAATTTTGGTTGAAATTTTTTTATTGTTCATCCATAAGCACAGTTGAGACCAGCTCAACAAATTTTCCGCCTGGGAATTAATAGTCTGGTACGATAACACCAACAATCAAACACACCTCATAGAGATACATAACTATCGAGGAATCCTGAGGAGTATTATGAAATTCATTTAAAATCAATCTGATTAAAGTTGGATATAATATTTGAAAAAGGTATAGCGAACGATACAATAACGGTTACTGTTGGTATAAATAACCTTGTTATAATATATTACACATCAAAATACCAAT